TTGTCTGCTAATTCATTTAATGAATTTACACAATTAAAGATCTTTTACTTTGTAGTCAAAATAAAAATTTTGTAATCATCATTGAATGAAGCAAAACTACTCTACCTTCAATAGCATTAACTGCATTTGGTGTCTCGTCTGTCGATGAATTCAACTCTGAGGATGTATTTCTTTCCAAGTCATCTTTCATCGCGTTATCATCATTTGAATATGTTATTTCCATGAAGTTATTGCTAGGCTTACAATCGGCTTCAATGGTACTGACAATAATTTTGTCAGCTTGTACAGTGATATGAGGCTCATTGAGTGATGATAACGAGTTGTTATCGTCAGTTATAGATGTCTCAATGGTTTCAGTACGATTACTTATGGAATCGACTTGGAGCTCTTTAACACTTTTCGCATGATTTAAATTTGCTATCTTTACAATATCATTTGTGAACTGATCATTGCTATCCTCTGTCATATGTATGTTCGATCTAAAATTTAAATTGAAAGGTGCACAGGCTAACGAAGTTACACTTTCCTTCATGTCAATCACCTTATTGCATATAATCTGATCAGATTTTATAGAGAGACAATGAATTTCAGTCCTATTGGAATTGCCAAGTGCCATCCATACAGCGCTATTCTTGTGTAAATCCTGTGTACTTGATCCAGTAATATTATAAATCATTGAATTGGCCCAACGAATTACCTACATGTAGTAGATAATATTCAGTCACCAATACTGTCTTATCATACAGCAATGGCAAAACTACTATACTGTTATTAGATGTTATTAGAATCATTACCTTTAAATTTTCTTGTTCATTAACATCAGTATTTGGAAATTCCCAAGTACGGTCCAACTTAGGCAGTGCTTTTCTTTCCTCATCGTCATCTATGCTCTCTAAAACATCAGCAAAACTCATTCCTTGAGCAACATTGAGCTAGTTACGTTGCTAATTACACATTTATTACCTAGACGCTTTAAAAGATCCGCAAAATCATATTTCCATGATGATTTGGCTTCAGGAGATTCAAAAGAGAACGAAAAAGTTGCTTCACTACCATCCCTAATCCAACCAAATCCGTGAAAAAATCAGTGCATCAAAATTAAATGTAATCGCCTCTTAGTCACTTAAGATGTTCTAGAGTATTTACCGAAAATTGATAGATAATTCTACCAGTGTAAATAGTAGACCGGAAGTGTTTTGTT